TAGCACAGAAAAAAAATACCAAGAATCACTTCTTTCTCCTTTCCCATTACTTTGAAGATATGTGAGAGTGACCACATGGATAGAAAAGTCCCTATGGCACCATGTGAATTTAGGGATTAGAAGGCAAGTACCTATGAATAGTTTTCCTCCTCCAGAGAAGATAACAGGCTTTTTCCTTCACCCACTGTGCTCTGCTATTTGCAAGATGAATTTTAGGGGCATCTAGACACCTTCATAAACCTCACAAATATAAGGACTTCTGTTTCTAGAGGCAGCCTGGTGCTAGAGGTGCTGATCTGGGTCACCCCTAGGCAGAATGCTGAGATCATGTGCAACATTCCCACTGCTGAGCACCCACACCTCAACATGGCCCATCCCCAAAATACAAAGCTACTGAGAAAGCAGGAAGGCAGATGGGTACCATTAGTCACAAGCTCAGAGGATGACTCAGTCTTTCCATCCTGATTGATGGCTGTCCACTGCCATTAAATAATAGTCAGTTCATAGGAAACTACAGTGTGTTTGAAATAACTTTAATCAATGGATGTGCTTGGTGATGCTTTGAACCACCTCTGAGGTCTGACTTGACCCAAAGAGTAATAAACCCATTTCACAGTGGGAAATTAAAACCCCAAACAACTGTGCTTGTTCTGCAGAGCTGGGCTCTGTTGGATCTATCTGCAGTGTGAGAGTGCTCCAAAACCACTGAATAATGCTGCAAAAAACATAGCAAAAGCTTTTTCTGCCCATGGCACTGACCATTGCCAGAGCAGAGGGGACAGTGCAAGCAGACAGGGATGAAGCAGCCAACAGGGGCTGCAGCTCAGAGCAAGGTCCATGTGCTAGTCCTGCTGGGAAGCAATTCCTTGCCCCAGACTCATAAACCAAGCATAGGAGGGGGACCAGAAAGTGAAATAGCTGGGACTTCACAGCAGCTTCAGCGGTGCCCATATCCTCACCCCTACAGTCAGAGCCGGGCAGCACTGGTGGTTGGGCTTGGTGGGTATTGTCCTCTCAAAGACTTTCTCATCCACTGCTCCAAGCTGAGCTGGCACTGTTAGCATAGGGAGATAAGAAGCATAATTTACTGTAATGTTTCCCCCCAGGCTGCTTCACTGTGCCTCAGACACAGTAGATGAATTCTGTCTGTCAAACCCAGTTACATTTGATTCCGTCTCCTGTAGCTGGGATCAGAGGGCAGACATTTATCAGGCAAGCAACTGAATTACCAAATTGCATTCCTAAAACAACTGAACAAAAAAGCCCCTCTGTGACGCTGTTCTCAGTGCAGGATGTGACCCAAACAGCCACTATTTTTCCTTGCAAATTATATTGAAGCATCTGCTATTGTTAGATCCACCAGAACGACTCCAGCGAAACGGGAGGTATTGAAGAGCAAGCATCATCTCAGCAGAGGCTCACTTCTTAACAACATTCTTAATGCTCTTTCTTCTGTTAGATAATGTGCCACCCACAAAAATACGTCATTCCTTGAATCTACAAGTTTCAAGAGCAAAGCCACTTCTGTGCCTATTGCTCCATTTTGCCTCAGGCTAACAGGAAAGAATACATCCGGGCTTCTTCAAGATAGTGCTTTGCGACAGCTACAGATGGGGCAATGGCCGCAGCAGAGGCTATCCTTGATCCCCTTCCTCCTCAGTTAGTGTTAACAACCTTGTCTGAAGTCATCTGGTACAAAAAGCAGAGGAGACTCTGAAGGTCAGCTTTACAGAGCCATACAGCAAGGTCTGCTGGCCAAGATGCATTTATCTTAATGAGAATTCAGTGAGCAAGCCTCCTAGCATCTTCAGCTGCTGATCCAGCACATGAAAGAGAAGGAATCAGTCTGAAGCAATGTCTACCATCAGAGGATAGTTGGAAAACTTGATGAGCATTTCCCTCTGAGGAGTTTCTCTCAGGGACCTTGCTGAGTTAAACACTGTCCCAGGCATCAGCCAGTTGGCCTTGGAATAATAGATAGACTTCTATTACAATAGAATATTATTGGAAAAATAGATAGACTGAGGAAGCCATGACCAGGATACCATGCTGTCCAGCAGAACAGGCTATGAGGTTTTGTGCAGTTTTACTTCCAAACTATCACTGTGCTGCACCACAGCCAGGTCCAGGCTCCTGACACAGGGTACATCACTGTGACCTGGTGACCACATGTATCCCTGTAGTGGGATCTTTGCAACCGATGCTTTCCAGGTTGCTCCCTCCCTTCTGCCACACGCACTTGCAGAAACTTTTTCTTCAGGACTTCAGAACAGTATTTTCTGTTTAGAGAGACGGTTCTTTCAATACAAAGAATGTTGTATTTGCCAGGAACAGAAGGATGGCTGAAAGGGACAAAGAGATCTAGCTGTACACATTCTGTTCCTGAAGGCTGGCAGCTCCCTCAGGAGTCTACCATGGACTGACTTGTCCATAGAGTCCCATGTTGCCCGTGGAAGAGGAGCTTTTGCTCCTCTCCAGCCCTCCATCTGCCTGCCATGGCTGACAGCCTCTGTCTCCACTGCTCTTTCTGCAGGCTATGATCTGTAAGGTTTAGTATCTCCCTTTGATCCTCAGCTTAGCCTTGGGAAGACTATGCTTTACCAGCCAGAAGGGTGATGCAGAAGCATTCCCCAATTAGTAACTCCCTGCTTTGTTCTTGTACAGGCTTCTACTCTTGCTGGTCTGGCTTGGCTTTTTAACAACCCTTTTGATCTCACTCCTGCACAGTTACTCATCAGAGAGGAAAGGGAGATGAGTGAAGAGTACCCACTGGACATAGACATGTTTCACCTAATTGTGCTGGCCTAAGTGACATGAGAGGTACCTCTTATTTGGGGTAGGTCTGCCCTGACACGAGCGCCATTCCCCAGTACACTTCCACCCACCATAAGACAGGCTTGCAGAATGCTCATCCCCCTTGGCTTTGCATGGCCAACAGAGAGTTTAGCTGCTCCCAGAGCATGCTTCAGGGCACTTCCATGCTCTCTATAGAACTGATACAGACACCAAGGTTTTAGCAAAGGCAACCGAGATTGTAAGTGAAGTAGGCAATGTGATCTCCTCTGCTGTGTTGCTAAAGGTGCCATTTTTCAGCAGAGATATCAAAGCCAAGTCTTGATTACTTGTAATAAATAAGAAAATCCTATTTTAAATATTCTGCAAGGGGAAAGTTCTTATCCCAAGGGCAATGACAGCTACAGACGGGACAATGGCAGCATTTTCCTATGAGTGGAGGTGTCAACCTCATTGTACTGACTATATTTTCACCTAAATTATTACTAAAAAAGTATGATGATTTTTTATTTTTTCTTTTTAATATGATGCCAACCTTTTCCAGGAAAGCTCAAGGCTTTGTAGATGCTGCACAAAAACTCTAGAAAGAAGGAGGACCAGTGTTAACCAGATCACACCAAAAATAACTTCATAGCTTAACAGGACAAAATGCACCTGTTGAAGTGCTAAAAGTTGGATTCCCAAATCCGTCTTTAAGCACTACATTGAAGTGTACTTGGTTAATGAATGATGTATTTCAGAACCCATCTGAGCCAATCAGATCTGCAAATTGAGTTTTGGTTTCCCAGTGGGCATAAGTAATGGTGATGGGATCAGGTTACCAGTACATCAACGGTAAATAGGTGATTACTTTGTGATGCATTCATTAAACATTTAACCAGTATTTATATCTGTGAGTGACATATAAAAAGGTAGTTTTAACAGGTTCATTTGGGATTCAGGTTGCAAAGATGTTAATTGACATTTAATAGTTTTGTAATTGATCCCTTCATCTTAAATTGTGGAAGACTGCTAAAACATATTTCAGCTCAATGGAAAATTGTACAATGTAATGTAATATTAAACATATAATCAAGATACACATTTATTGCAGCTATATAATGCTAAACTAAGCTACTCAAGAAGTTATTTGCTAGTTCAAAAATGTATTTTGTTTCAAACCACCCACAGTATTTCAGGAGGCAATAGTTTTACATGGCAACTAAGAAAATGAGCTTATATGTACTAATGGGGGCTACATAGTGATATAATATGCATGCATTCCTAGCTCATTGCTGGTTTTAATAATTAAGCATGTATCAGCATATTTACAGAAGCCCAGACGCTGACTTTTGTGGGTAGTGATGTGCATGAAATAGCTCAATTATTATTATAATTGCCTGGTGCTTATGCATTTGTAGCTCTTTTCAGTGACACGGAACTACAGCAGGCTGTAAGCTGAAAGCCTGTCTATTGCTTGTCTGGGTATTGCTGAACAAACATATGTCCAGGTAAAACATTTCTGGTACCTTGGAGCAGGACACTGAAATTTAACATGAGCTTGGCTTTTATAGAGAGGATATATCATTTGTTGGTTTTATGACAATCCAGCATAATACAGGCTGTAAGGGGCATGGTGACCCAGTGGAGGTGGAGAGCTCTTTCCACTCGACCACAAAAATAGGAAGAAAAGAGTATTAAGAGGGCTTGACTGCAGTAATTACTTCCAAACATCACTGCTTGCATCACAGTGAGCTAAGCAGGCATGTAGGGCAGCTCTTGACCCAGCATACGGTGTTTGCATTTGCACCCTTCTCCCTTCAAGCCAAGCCCCCGAGATGAGTATGAGGTTACCTGCAGGAGGGCAAGAAACTGCCTTGCAGAGCATTGACTCAACAGGGAGGGCTTGAAATAACTTCTCTGCCTTAGCATCCTCTGGAGCTTTAACATCAGTGGAGACAGGGCCTAATTTCTCCACAGGTGCATGAGCTGGATTGCTGCTCTGGGCTGTAAGTTGTATCAGCCCCACTGGTTATTCCACCTGATATCATCAGATGCACTGAACTGTCAGAGGCATCACTGTTTGTCTATGTCAAACCATCTTCTAAGGCTTTTAATAACTGAACTCCCTATATTGAGCTGTGGTCTGATTATGTAGTTTTCTTCCCTGTATAAGTAATCTGTCTCTGATGCCTTTTTCTAATGCCTTTTCCCCATGCCTTTTTCCCTTACTGACTTTTGGTCCTGAAAAATGAGCAGCCACTCTTGATCATCTAGAGTTTTAATCTGAAAAGCCATATGACAACACTGCCATTCCACGTTTTTTCTTAGTGATTTTTTAAGGGATACTGTCAAACCGAATCTGTACAGACTGAATTTGGCTTTTTCTATGCGTTGTGAAATTCCCATTATTCGCCAAAGAAAATACTAAGAGAAGGGATTGTTAGAGGTCAGTAAGGGCTGAGAGACTAATATGTCCGAGTCCTTGATTTCCAATCTGCCCTATAGTGGTGCTTGGCTGGTATAGAAAACATTTAATGTATTCCAAAGCTTGGGCTTGATATGAAGGTGTTCAAGATTTCAGCATTTACAGATGCCTGATCCTCTTTTCTGTGCCTCTGAAGGTGATGCATTCAGTCTGCCACACACACGCAGCCTACCTGAGCAGCTCATTCTGAACAGCAAACACAGAAGTGCTTCCCCACCAACGGCCAGTTGGTTACTCACAAAAGCTGCTGAACAAGTTAAAGTACTGGCAAGACTGGCAAGTCCCAGGGTGACCTGGGAGTGCTGGAAGACTCAAAACTCAATTATAATTCATGTTTGTTTGTTCTTGAGTTATTTAGTTTTGATGACTTATGAAACTCCTATGTTTAGATCTAGGCATATAGAAGAGGTTTTAGACAAACAAATTATTGTAATTAACTGCTCCCATAATGCCGCTGCAAATGCACAGTAACCCAGAAACAGTACAAATACCTAGGCAGCCAGCCAGCATACCTCTTTTCTCGGCAATGGGCTTTGTGGGAACTTCTAAAGATTGGCAAACATGGACTATTTGCCGCAACGGAATGGTCTCACACATTGCCTTGGGTCACAGGCTGAGCTGACTGCAGATCTGAAAACATGCAGGAGAAGGCAGCAATCCCCTTTCTGTCCTTCTTTTGCTCTAGTTCATCTCACTTTCATTGCCAGAACAAGAATACAGCTGGTCTCTGTTCTTCTGAGACCTATATTGATTATTCAAGATGAAAGGGAGGAATAACATCCAAACCCAGTGCAATGGATATAATAGGGACAGCTGGAGTATCCCTGCTATCCACAGCTGGTACAGAAGTGCACACACAAGAACCAGTCTCCACAAAGTCACCTAGAAAGACATGGTGCTGTTAATGTGTAAACTGTTAGCTGAGCCTGTGAGATGGTCTGCCTGCCTCTTTGTAAGTCTGCCAGGTAGAGACTGAACAGGCTAGTGAACAGAAGCTATTCCAACTGTGGATTACTGGACCTGAAGCACACAAATAGGGTCTGCTGCTGCCCATGTGCTTGCTCCCTGGAAGCCAGATGCCGTGGGCACCAAAGGCATTCAGGGCTTCTGCGAGCTCCCATGGGCTGGAGGGCAGGTCTTCCCTGCTATAAACACGGGAGCTTATGACCAAAGGGAAGACTATGGTAAGAATCACTAAGGTTGTATATTTCATTCATATTGGCAAGATTTCATATTCTCTCATGGGTTACCATAGAATAGTTAGGGTTGGAAAGAACCTTAAGATCATCAAGTTCCAACCCCCCTGACATGGGCAAGGACACCTCGCACTAAACCATCTCACCCAAGGCTCTGCCCAACCTGGCCTTGAACACTGCCAGGGATGGAGCATTCACAACCTCCCTGGGCAACCCATTCCAGTGCCTCACCACCCTAACAGTAAAGAATTTCCTCCTTATGTCCAATCTAAACTTCCCCTGCTTAAGTTTTAACCCATTACCCCTTGTCCTATCACTACAGTCCCTAATGAAGAGTCCCTCCCCAGCATCCCTACAGGCCCCCTTCAGATACTGGAAGGCTGCTATGAGGTCACCACGCAGCCTTCTCTTCTCCAGGCTGAACAGCCCCAACTTTCTCAGCTGATCTTCATACAGGAGGTGCTCCAGTCCCCTGATCATCCTTGTGGCCTCCTCTGGACTTGTTCCAATAGCTCCATGTCCTTTTTATGTTGAGGACACCAGAACTGCACACAATGCTCCAGGTGAGGTCTCACAAGAACAGAGTAGAGGGGCAGGATTACCTCCTTCAACCTGCTGGTCACACTCCTTTTGATACAGCCCAGGATACAGTTGGCTTTCTGCTTTGCAAGTGCACACTGAAGCCGGCTCATGTTCATTTTCTCATCGACCAGCACCCCCAAGTCCTTCTCTGCAGGGCTGCTCTGAATCTCTTCTCTGCCCAGCCTGTAGCTGTGCCTGGGGTTGCTCCGACCCAGGTGTAGGACCTTGCACTTGGCATGGTTAAACTTCATGAGGTTGGCATCAGCCCACCTCACAAGCGTGTCAAGGTCCCTCTGGATGGCATTCCTTCCCTCCAGCGTATCAACCAAACCACACAGCTTGGTGTCATCGTCAGACTTGCTGAGGGTGCACTCAATCCCACTGTCCATGTCAGCGACAAAGATGTTGACCAAGACTGGTTATGAGGAGTTCTGCATGTTGGTGGGCGTGTGCAGAAAACAAGGAAGTGATTCCTTGAGCTACAAATATACAAAAGTGGGAGCCTAATCCTTCAGCCAATCTGTCATTGAAATTTCTCCTCCAGTGAGCTGGAGTTGGGCTTCAGTATTGCTGGTGGCCTTTGTTTTATAACTATGTGTATGCATGCATATATGAAGCAAAGTACATATATAAACATGCACACAGAGACACAGAGGAGTGGTGTCCATCCAGAGATACGCTTTTGGGGTATAAATAATGTCAACATCATTTCCCTCATTGCCTTCACTGTGTTAGGCAGATGCTCAGTGCAATGCCCTCCACACTATCCAGCTTGGACTTCTAATGGCTCAAAGGGAGAAAATTACTTTGCAGATCAGATGAAATGCTTCTGCTGCTTCAGTAACATGTAATGATATTTATAGAATCATAGAATGGTTTGGGTTGGAAAGGACCTTAAACTCATCCAGTTCCAACCCTCTGCCACAAGCAGGAATACCTTCCACTAGAGCAGGTTGCTCCAAGACCCATCCAGCCTGGCCTTGAACATGGCCAGGGACAGGGCAATCACATTATTATGTATTTACTATTAGGAAAGAAAACTTACTTAGCACATTTCAAGAATTAAGCCTTAATACATTTATTGACTGCACCTAAGGCTATTGCCAGTAGCAGCAGTGACCTGAGACTATACAACACTCTGCACTCCTTTTCATTGCAATACATCTTCACCAGGGGAATGCTACACTGGATTTTAAAGTAGTTGATGACCCTCCTTAGCACTGCTTTGGAACAGCCTGAGAGCTTAACACAGAGATGGAGAATTACAAAACTCTAAAGGCTCCAGAAATAAAGTCAGTCAGTTATTTACTCCCACTAATGGAGACTGGTTAGTTCTCAAGGGTAAATCATTTTTTCATTATATTTATACCTTGCGCTGATGTGTGAAATTCTGGTTAATGCTATGGCATTTCACAGATATGTTTACTACCCCGTGGGCTGTGTTTCTGAGAGTCACATGGGTGCTGTGGAGGAGAGACTGATTGTAACAGGTAAAATTAAACCGAGTGTACCTGTAATGTAGGTGGAGAACAAAACCACTTATGCTCCGTTGTTCTTACCACCAGAACAAGGGAATCACTCCTGTGCATGTTCCTGATAAACAAATCAAAAAGCAGAGATGAAAATTTGAGCTTTCCAATTAAAAATACCTGCTTACTGATTCCTCTTCCAAGTTCAAGCCATTGCTCAAGAGCTCTGCACAGTGGACACTGCCTATGCCCTCACAAGAAGAATTAAATCCAAAGAAAAATAAGAAGGGAAAAGAAACTAAACCCTGGTCAGATTAAGGTTATTTTCTTAGACATTGTTCTGTATTGTCCTCTACTGCCCCATGTCACAGTTCAAGTAGTCATCCCAGGCTGCTGCACTGGATCATTGCTCAAGAGCACTCATGCTTGGAGAGAAGACACTGGATCACAGTGAACCATGCCCATTGTCAGAGAGTTGTGCAGAAAAGAAAGCAACAAGACCACTGGTGGTGGTGTGCTGCTTACCGCTTTGATGCTTTTGTAGGTGCCTAGTTGTCAATCTTTACTTCTTGCTGTTTGAGACCAACCTCCCAGTAATTCATCTTGCCTCCCTGAAGCCCAAATGTGGATTTAGTGGAGTTCTAGCCTATGAAGGATCATTCAGGAGCTCAGAACTGTAACAGCAGGGGACATTTTGCAGCAGGGGATCATTGAACACTTGACTTAAATGCAAACTTAAGAGAGTTGCTTTGAATACCACATTTCTTCTCACCACCTCACCCAATGCCTGGTGATCTTACCCCCAGTGAAGAGCTTTCCAGAACAGCTTCACTCATCTGATTTTTGCTACCTTTATGTATCAGCTGTGACTGAAGTGACTACAGATCAATACAACAGAAAGTATTTTTATTCTGGCATGATGTGAAGGCAAGCAGACTGGCAGAATTTAAATGTTCTTGGGACTTTGTCCTCAATAAACACCACTGTGAAATGCTCCAACGCTGCTTTCCGAAAGTTTCACCACAAGCTTTAGACGGTGCTCAGGTTAAATGTAAATAATTACTATTTCTTGAGGCTCATCCAGGCAGGAGAGATGCCAAGAGCTTGTGTGTTTATCTTCAGATCTATTGGGAAATTTCCCAAGAGCATGAGCTCTCAGACATGTAGTCAAAACATCCAGTGATAACTGTCTCCAGAACATTCAGCAGCTCTTTGACTGACATATTTCTCATCAACAAGTTGGCTTTGTTTACGCGTCTCCAAGAAGTACATCAGCAACGATGGAAAAAAAATACAACAGACTTTTCTGTTCTTAGACATTCCTCTTCTGGCAAGATGGGTTTTATTTCAGGAAGTGTTACCAGCCCAGATTTGCTAGCATTAACCAGCTGGGCTATGCCGAAATGGCCATGCAGAACAGCTTGCAAATACTCCTTGAGGAGTTTTCCAGCAGCTCTGATCTGAAGTAGGATCAGCAGAAGGCAAAGAAAGCTGCCTTTTGGGTTTGTTTTTTCCCTTCAGCCCACCCCTGCTTTCGGGACTGAGCATGTTTTGCCTCTTTTGTCGATCCCACCTTTCAGGAAAATCCCACAAAATACATGCACAAATCCCAGTACACCCCTAGAGCTGACAGACCCGATTTTACTTCGCCTGATTGCATTCAACTCTTTCGTATCAGATGGACCAACCCTAACAAAGCCCCCTCCTTCCTCTCTTGCCACTTCTACAATCCTGCCTGGGATTGCCCAGGCTTTACTTAAAACATGCTGCTGAGACACCAGCTCCATCCTAGTTCACCCATCCCCAAAATATCTGTAACATTGACTTACTCACAGGGTTGCTGCAGAACTTAGTTTATTTACAGACACACTGAAGTATTTTCATAGATCACCTCACAGGCCTTCATCTCTTCCATGATAGTAGCTAAATACGCACATACCAAGCTGCTAGAGGGAAGGAGTCTTTTCTTGCTGTGTTAATCCATGCAGTGAGACCGAACCAGACTAAGGAGAACAGTTGGTATTGCCATGAATTCTAACTCAGAGCCAGTTTCCAATGAGGTAATCTACCTCCTGCCTGCCAGCTCCCTTGGACTCAGTCCTGCCAGGGTCACAGCTTCAAATGTACACAAAAGAAGGTATCAGTATTGGGCATGTACAAGAAGAGAACAGCTATGGAAGTTCCAAGAGAGAGTGTCAGCAGATGGCTACACACAGAAGATTAGAACATTACTTTTGGGGGGAAATACCAAAAGCTGAGGGTGGAAACCACAAGGAATGTAAATAAGGCCTCTTACTCTCACCTCCATTTCAGCCTGAAGGTACCGGGTGAGCAGATGCCTTCTGCTGGCATGACAGCTCCTCAGGGAAAGTGGAACCTGCTCAGCTGGGACAGATGAAAATGCCCTAGGAGAACTTCTAGAAACCACAACATCAAAGAGAACTCTTCCCAAGGGATGGGGTGAGATGACTTCACCAGTCTTACCCGCTCCTCAGTCTGCAAGCACGCAGCACCATTTTGCCCCCACACACCATGTGAGTTTCCAACTGCTGCAGATCTCCCTGGTGAGAAACCATGAATTTGGTAACATCCACCGCAGAGGAAGGAAGCGCTTCTTTTTCACCCCAGACTCCTGAGAGTTCTCAATCTGAAGATGAGAGCACCATAAACCACTTTGCCAATTATCCCCACTGCCCTTGGCCAGCTCTGGGTGGATCTGACCCACAGCCTGAGCAACCTGCTTGCTGCAGCAAAGCCACCTGCTGTCCCTCACACTAAATCAGAGTTAGTAACCAAGAAATGCTTTAGCAAAGTCTCCCATATAATCCAGCAATTAGGAAGATTTCTGTTTTCAACCCACAGCTAGTGAGAGTTCTTGAAAACAACAACAAAAAGCTGTTTTGGAACAGAAAGAAGGACAAGCTGTTTCAGTCATCATTTTATTACTGACTCACAAGGGAAATCAGTGAATCTACCAGTGGTTCATGCAATTCTGTTGCCAGCTTCTCAGAAAGGAAATGTCATGTTATAGCAACTTGTTTTTCTATTGCAGCAATTAAAGTACATAGGAGGCCACAACAAAATCAATAAAAAACTGGTAAATCCGTAATGAATGACAGCAAAATACTGATCTTCTTGCCTAAAGAAACAGCTGTCTAAATGCCACCACAGGGCTAGGCAGTAGAAGGGTTTTCTGGTTTATGTTTGAAGGGTCTGCCATTCTTTATCTCTTATTTATGTAGAGATCACCAAATGGCCTCATGCTTATTGCTTATTGTGTTTGAGTTTCCTCTGAGGAAATTATGTATAAGTGTGAATTTTCAAGGCTTGAGCTGTCCCTGTGGGCAGTGCAATTTATGCTCCATGAGGCACGTGCCTGGGCTGCTGCTGGTGAGACTCCCGCAGAGGCTCACCAGGGAGCCAGCAGGGCAATATACAGATTGCTCTGGGGCTGTCTGTGTAAATGAGGCCTCACACTTTTGCTGCAGGCTTCACGATCCCATAATCCATGGTTTAGGTGAGGATGGCACCAACTTCTCTCAGCTCATCCATCTGAGGGGATTGGCAAGTGAGCTGTGATCAGTGTGCCAGAGACAGATATCAACTTCTGAACTCACAGCAAGAATACAGCAAGGTTTAAAACACAAAGATGTTTTCAGCCATGGAGAGGTCCTTCTGCATATGACTGTTTTGTATCTTACCCCCATGCTGAAGGTTTAGAAGGCCACACTTCTTCAGCCTTCTCCATGGGGGCTGTCTCTGTGGTATCTGTCCTTTCTGAGCCACCCTTTTATAGTCCTATTTTTACCATCTGCAGTTTGTACTTCTGTATCCAGAGGAATCTTCACAGCTAATTGTGCACATACAGTTTTTCCCTTTTCCATGGTATTATAGGTAATTTACTTAGGTAGAGGCCAGCTATTGCCACTGACAGCTTCCCGTCAGACGTGTGAAGCAATATACAGTACGAGGTGCAGTAAGCCAGTACAGCATGGTCTCGGTACCCAGGTCACATCTAGTGCTCATAAATAATTGCAGATCAGTTCCACAACCTTCACTGATGCAACCTCATCTGCTGTCGGGTTTTTCCCTACTTTTTTATTCATTTTAATTGCTACCTGCTCTTCCATCAGAGCTGTGGCCAAATGCCTTTTAAAACAGAACCAGCTAATGCTTTTGATTGTAGCAGGACCTTTACTTATGCACTGCATGCTGCTACATTTGTGTTTGGTGGGGGGTTTTGTTTGGAGTTTATCAACAAAGTTGTTTTCTAGTGCTGGAATGGCTTGGTCTGCTGAGCTGAACTCTCATTGTGTCTGTCACATGCTTATCTTATTTCAGCAGTGAGAAATCAATGGGAATTGATTTGAGTATGTCCAATCTTATCAAGTATCGAGTAGGGTGCTGGGACAAATGCTGAGTTGATGGTATAACATTTAACAAGACATGTATCCAAGTATGACAACCTTGTTTATAAAGGATGGTTGGACTCCAAGGTGTTAAACATGTTTGTTCCTCCCTATGCCCTTGGCTTTCAGATGCTGCCAATTTCCATAGCAGCTCTCTCAGCTAAAAGCAGAATGCAAGCACACTCCGTAGTCCTAGCAGAAGATAACGTAGGGAAGAGAGAAAGTATTGCATTTAGAAGCATAAACGCTGCCAGCAAATGCTATTTCAGCAATTACGTATGTTTAGTAATTATGTTAATGTTGATTCTCAAAAGGCTGTTATTTGCTCAGCATGTTCTTCATACTTTATCTCTTTACCTGCCTAACCCTTTATTTTCACTCTAGCTATTACTGGTTGTTTGTCAAGTTAAGTGATGTTTGCAGCGCCAAGTGTTGTCAAGCTTTAGCTGAATTCCTGTTTTTCCAACACTGGCTGCTGTGATTTTCTGCTCATTGCTACAACAAGGCTTTGGGGATTGGATTCCACTGCTTACAGGAGACCTTGGGTACTGCAGGTGTTATTGGTACCTTGGGCTGCAGGATGGATGAACAGCTCCTGGAGTCTATAACAACATGTTTGATGAAGTGTGATGGGCACCAATTTGTAGGTGTTGAACTGACAGACGTGGGGAACTTGTATGTTCCTATATTGCTGGATCATCATTTCACCTTGAGCCAGTGGCTAGCAGACAGCAACAGAGAATTAACCATGGAAAGACCCACAGTGCACACTACCATTAATATGACCACAGCAAAGTTTAAGTGACAGAAATACCATACCTGAAGCAACCTGACCAGTTAGATTTGAGGAGATACCTAGGGAGATGCTTGCACGTTTAGATGTATAACTGATTGATAGCCCACATCCTACAGAGGAGTATCTGTGTGTGTATGTACGTATATGTATGTGTATATGTCTTGTATGTGAATATGCAGAGGAAAGTACTCAGTTACCTGTAGGTGCAAAGCAAAATTGCACAAGGGCCAGCACACTTTAAAGTGGATGAGGCCCAATGGAATATAATGGGCTAGAACCAAAGGCCATACCCTCAGGAACATACAGACTTGTATCTGTTGGCCTCAGCAAGTTGTTCCCCCAGAAGATGTAATGACAGAAGAGAAACATGCAGTATGCATGGAACACAAACACTGAGAAGCACTGATCTGGGGGAGGAAAAGGGAAAAGCCCAACTCCAGAAAGATATTCTGCATGCACAAGGCTGGCAAACAGTGCTTGAAAAGGGCTGGTTTCAGAGGCAGGACAGTGGCTGTGCCAACAACACAGCAGTGTGCACCTGAGCCTAAAACCATGGTGAGTTTATCAGTGCTTAGCCATCCCTAATAAGAAGGCTGTGCTGCTTCCAGGTCCCAGCCAGGCTTCCAGCACAGTTCTGAATGGTGCTGTACTGCTGCCTCCTCACCTTCTCCTCACACTCTCAGCAGATACCTGCTTTCCAAAATCTTTACAGCAATCCCCAATTTTGGCTCAGGCCACAACCCATTTCTAGAGAATTCCCATGAAGGATTTGTGATTTAACATGTTAGAGCTGTTTCAGCAAGCATTCTGCCAACAGCAGCCTACACTGAAGGAGAAAAGAGCTCTATGGTATGGACATGAGTCTGCCAGCCTCAGCGTTAGACAGTGACACCAGGTATATTTAATTTACCAGCATAGACACAGCTTTTGAGAGCTTGACTTCACATTGAAGCCTCTCCTTAACATACAGCAGCCTCAAACACACGGTGCTGCATTGTACACATGATAAACTAATTTGCTCTACATTTAGTGTCAAGTAACAATTGGACATTCCTTGAACTTTGTAGGCTACAACTTTCTTTCTTCATTGATTTATTGATTTTTTTTTTTCCTTGTAATTTTCCCCCATGTTCCTGTGGTTCGAGGAACAGATCAGGAGCCCTGCTGTGGTTAGTTTAGCATCTATTAGCTTTTTATCAACTTATTTGTAAATTAATTGTTAGGAGAATTTAGAAGGAAGAAATTACATCTGATTCTCAACAGCCTTTATGGAGCAAAATCAAACCTACAAAGAGGAGCAATACTCCCTTGCAGAGATGTGCAATGTCCATTATCAGCAGTGTTAGCAGAAAGCCAGCTTGTTTAAATGGTCAAGATAAGCAAGGTACAAATAGGGCTGACTTGGCATACATGTTCATTAACTTGAATGTGGGAGCTCTGAACTGAAGAAAGAACCGATTAAGCTCTAATTGTATCTTCTTTAAGGGGGCATTTTGAACAGCTAACCCTTTTGTACGGTGCCTCTTGTTACACATATCACGTCCTCCTATGGATAAACAGCCCTTTATCTCACTTGTCTTTACGGTTTTTCTTCCTTTGTGAAATGCTGGATCTGATTTCAGTTCTAATGTGACACCCAGCATACAATGACTCAGGATTTAATAGATCTTCCTTGTTGCCTCTTTCCTCTCAGAAAGTCTTCGTTAATGAAACCCTTGAAGATGTTTTAAATGACCAATACAGAGTAGTGCTCTTTAACTGTGCAATCAGAGATGATTTACTGAATGCATTTTGGGATGATTGCAGCATGTCTTAAGGGACTGTTTCAGAAAAAGAGGAGAAAGTTGCTCAGATTTGTTGGCCTCCCCCAAAGGGCGATGAACAGCAGTAGGAACACTGACCGTAGCTGCCACTATTATTACAGAATATGGAGCATCCATTAAAAGACAGCAAAGCCAATATGTCAGGTATTTGGAAAGTTTCCACTCACTGCAGGACCAGCACAAAGCAGAGACTAGTGATGGATTACGTTGACCTATTTCCTAGACTGGGGAACTGAATCATATTTGCTATTTGCACACTCATTATTTTCACCAAATGCCTCTGCAGATGCAGTTGCCTGCTTTGCACATTCAGTGGAAGCTCAGTTTAAGTGCTGAAATGTGCATCTATCTTGTATTAAACTTAAGTTCTTCTACAACATGTTATTCTTTTGTCTCAGGGCCAACTGTCACACAGCACGTGTAGAATATATTCAGGATAACAAGAAGGAACAACAAAATACACCGATCAGTGGCAGTTCTTGCCTGTTACACTTTAGATTTATTCCACCTACTTTGGCTTAGCACAATTGCATAGTTTAATCAAACTGAAGAAG